GGAGGCGGCATTTTGCCTGTACAATGTACAGGTAAATTTAGCCAATCAGGAGGTGGCGTTAGTCCTGTCGTTAGTCTTGGCGCTGGTTCGTCAGAACCGAGCCTCCTTCTGGGTTCAACCCATCACATATACTAATATATCGCTATATCGTAACTTTCCCTTTTTAGTAGTTACGTGAGGCACGTGATCTAGCCTTACCTTCTTCTTATGCTTTTATTAGGCTGCCTCACTCGGTAGACTTGCCCTTGGACGCCCCGCGTCCCAGGTTATATGAAGGCCGTTTCTAACAGCCCACTCGTGGATTTAAGGGAATCCGGTTTGGGAGCAGAGCATGAGCGTAGAGGTCGTTACCGACGACGCCGACGACACAAGAGATCCAGTTACTCGAGAATGAAAAACCTAACTGCCATTTACGGTTTGATCCTAGAGGGCGAGCGAAGGCTGCTTTAACCTGAGCTTTAACCGAGCCTTTGGCTGGCACACTGAGCGCTCCCTGAGCATTGACTGGATCAAAGAAACTGGAGGCCTAATCTGGCCCTTGCGATCGGCTTGCAAGGCTATACTTGCCTCTCGGCCAGGCATCGATTCCAGAGGGTGTCAGGGAGTAACCTGACTGAAAGCGGTCCTCGGCCTTTACCTGTGAATCAGCAGTCCTCCAGGCCTTTTATGCGGGGTCTAGGCACGCAGCTAGGCCTAAGGCCTTGCACATAGCCTGGTGGCTCATCCCGCGATGCAGTACTATTAATTATGAATATTAGCCATGACAATAATAACTGACCCCTGAGAGTTGACCAAGAGAGGAGAATTGCCATGTCTACATCCAGATCAACCCTACACCCTATCAACGAGATCCATACGTTTCGCTACTACCCAACCAGAGGTGAAACAATTCGTCTTCTACTTCTTTTCCCCAGGGATGACAATAACAGCCTAGGATGTGGGATCTTCTCCACAGACATCTACAGCAGTCCCTCCTACAGCGCCGTATCTTACGCACGGGGAGAACCCAAACTCACTCGGAATCTCAAGCTCAATGAGAAGCAATTTTGCACAACTGAATCTTCTTATCAGGCACTCCGGGCGTTGTGCAGACCAGACGTTGGCAGTCTTCTTTGGATAAACTCTATTTGCATCTATTCCTATCGAACTGGAGTAAGGGTTAGCCTTTGTGTGTGCGACTACATGTAAGATGCTTACCCCGAAGGAACTGCCTAACGACTGCTTACAGAGAACTGAATAGTAGGGCAGCGCTGAGGACGATCAGTATTTTATTGCTAAGGCCTATGTACCTTTTGTTTGGCCACTTGACTAGCTTTGGCGCCACCCCAGACTTGTCTTGTACCCCACCAAGCCCACCACCTTTTGTCACTGACTCGGCACTGGATAAGCACAAACACCGAATCCGTCCTGTCTCGATCATTCCTGGCGTTCCCTCATACGCTTAATGATCAAACCTTCCCGAAGGCATTCCTATTAGTGTACATAGTCAACAGAGCGAATCTTTTCGAGGCTGTGCCAACTATGGGGACAGCGTTCCCACCAAGGAGGGCCGACAGGTATTAATGCTTGACACGTTGAGCAAGAGGGAACCGCTTGACACAGCAACATTCCTGATGCGGATAGAGTGTGGCGAACCCATGATCTGGCTCACTCTGTCGGCCAATATTTACAGATGAAACGGGCGAGTGTTCTGAGCCCTATGCTTCTTCTCATGGCCATGCGGATGTTGCGGGAGTTGCGAGTCTCCAATGCGGATAATTGACATCGACCTGTCGAGCCCCGGACACACTTTCAACCGAAGCCTGACGGCTGGTGGTTTTCTCGGACAACGTTTGGCGCTTGGTTGGAGTATAAGTACGCCGGATTGGCTATGTGGACTCGGTCAGTTTCGTCTTATCACCAATTCCTGCCCCCGACACCAGCACATTCTTCCATTTCGCTACCGCCACCCCAAGCGTTCCGCGGCACCACCATTTCACAGGCGCGAAGCCATCTACAAACATGCCCCGATTTCCTGACTCAGGAATTCTAGTGGAGGCGGAGGCATTCAATGAATACGGCGGCTGGACCCTGGATTCGCAGTTCGACTTCGAGATGGGCTCCCCGTACCTGCTGGCACATGGCAACGGGCGGCCCGTCGCTGATGCCACAACGGTCATCCTTGTCGAGGACGCTGGCGAGTACAACACCTGGGTTCGCGCAAAGGACTGGGTTCCTAGCCACCATCCAGGGAGGTTTACCGTCAGTGTCAACGGAAAGGTGCTCGACACCGAGTTTGGTGCCAACGACCAGGATTGGACCTGGCAGCCGGGAGGCAGAATCCGGCTGCCCGTGGGTGAGACCAGGCTCGCACTTCACGACCTGACCGGCTTCTGCGGCCGCTGTGACGCTATTTTCTTCAGCCGGGACAACCTACCTCCTCCCCAGGTGGTGGACGAGGCGGCCCGTGCTTGGCGGAAGCGATTTCGCGGACTACCTGATCAACCGGTTGACGCGGGGTCATTTGATGTCGTCGTCGTCGGGGGTGGGGTGCCCGGTGCTACCGCTGCGCTAGTCGCCGCAAGATTAGGAGATCGCGTCGCTCTTGTCCACGACCGTCCATACTTGGGCGGTAACGCGAGCCTCGAGATCGGCCTGAGACCTCGTGGTGTAACTGGACCGGTGGTAGACGAGGTCTCGGAACGCACCCCTGAAGGTGACTTGAAGGCGAAGCAGTTACTTGACGCTGAACCGAATGCGACGGTCTTTCTAGAACACAACGTCTATAACACGGTCACCGTCAACTCCTCCATTATTTCACTTGATGCGCGTGAGGCCCGCACCGGCAAAGAAATTCGCATTTCGGCACCGGTATTTATCGACTGCTCAGGCAAGGCTATCCTTGGGTTACTCTCAGGAGGAGAGACACTTTTCGGTCAGGAGTCGAAGTCAGAGTACGGCGAGAGCCTCGCTCCTGCGACCCGCGACAATATGCATCATGGGAATACTGTCTTTTTCCGTACGCGAATGGCGGAATCACCGGTTTCCTTCCCGCCTGTGCCATGGGCCACCGAGGTGGCGAAAGACTACTCTAACCTTGGTGGCCAACTCCAGAAAGCCGGTATTGAGAACGCGCCCGGGCCGGCTGTTACTCCTCCGGGATATGTTCCCGACCCAACAGTTCCTTGCCGCATGACAAAGCCTCTTACCCACTATTGGGAATATGGTCAGTGGCTCAACCCCTATACCCAGGCTGAGAAGATTCGGGATCACCTTCTCCGCGCGATCTATGGGACATTCTCCAATGTTAAGACTCTCGACCCGGATAACTATGCTAATCTCGAATTTGACTGGGTGGCTTTCGTAGCTGCCCAGGGTGAGTTCCGGAGATATAGGGGAGACTATATTCTCACCGAGACAGATATCCGGTCCCAGAGGGAATTCCCCGACGCTGTGGTGCAGAATGGAGGAGCCTTCTGCTTACACTACCCGGGTAATGAGAAATACGACTTTCGTCTGAAATACTGGACGTGGGACGAGAGAGACGGGAAGCCTTACTACGTCCCGTTCCGCTGCCTCTACTCCGCCGATATTTCGAACCTCATGATGGCGGGGAAACATATTAGCGTCACCCACGTTGCCGGGTCGAACACGAAATTCATGGGCAACGGCGGACAACACGCAATTGCCACCGCTTCTGCGGCTCACTTGTGTAAGAAATATAATACAACGCCCCGGGGTGTCTACAAGAATCATCTCGTGGAGCTTCAGGCCATTGCTGCAGCGGTCACCAAAACCAACTTCTACCATTCACAAACTTGGGCAAAACTATGACGCGGCTTGCAGACTATTTCTCTAAAGGCATCGGGTGGCAGCAGTCACCACGAGAAACCTGTCAGATCAAATCTACACCGGGTTGGCATTCCTGATTACGATTGCCTTCCTCGTAGAACTGAAACGACAAAATTGGGGACTGTGAACACGAGAGAGACATCGTTGAAGCAGATACCTTTGGCCCCGGGTCGGTATCCCAACAGACTGGAGGGATCTTCAATGTTGAATCAGGTAGAAGCGAAACACCGAGAACCATGTCCAAATTGGATTGATGGATGATACGGCCACCCATTTTACTTGCTACTTGAGGTTGTACCGATCCATCGCCTGACATATAGGAAAAGCTGTAAGTGCAGCGAGCTCCAGAAAACCAACCTAAAATGCGAGACTTGCGCATGCGTCCCGTCGTTGACGGGCTATTATTTAGTTACTTTCAATTCCAGCCTATTGGGTGTTTAATGAATTATGCTCCACCAAGGGCGCTTACGCTATTGCGTAGCATGTTCAGTGGCCCAAACCTAGGGCACCGCTTGGAATTCAGACAGATTCTTTACTTCAACGCAGGCACCACTCTGGCGTCCATCAGTGCTTTGACCGTGAAAACGACGCCCGCCATCAGAAGAGCTCGCAACGACCCCGATACCACGGTACCGGTGCCAAGTGTCAGAAAGTACCAGAGCAGGTTGATTCTCTTCTTCCCATCCCTTCCAAAATCGGGTTTCAAAGCGGTCATCTTTTGAAATTGGGCAATCTTTGTGCGCGTAAATGGCGGGTAACGGACTGCCAGGAGCTTTTCCATCCAGTTTGGGGTGTAGGTAATTGCTCTTTGGTGTACAAAGCAATCAAAAGACGCTTTGCCTCGGTATGCCCCCGACCCCGAGTCGCCCACTCCACCAAACCGTAGTGTAGGTATTGTGCCATGGAAGTAACCATCGTTGACACTTACACCTCCCGATCGTGTATTGGCGAGAATCTTATCGATCTCATCTTTGGACCCAAAGGCATAAAGACCTAGCGGAGTTTCGTGGAGCTCATTGGCCAGTGCGATTGCCTGATCGAGATTGTCGACCGGAACTATAGGAATGAGAGGACCAAAGGACTCCTCGACAAGGAGAGAGTCGCCGAAGTCGGACACCAAAATCACAGTCGGCTCTATAAAGAGCTTCTCCGCGTCCATCTTACCACCAATGACAATCTTGCCGGAGGTCTTGTCAAGCATCTTTTTGATTCGATCGAAAGCTATCGAATTTACAATTCGGCCATAGTCCTGGCTTTCCTCTGCGCCGCGGGGAAAGAACTCAGCTAGCGCAGTTCTGAATGCAGTGACCAGCGTCGGTACGCAACTGTTTTCTACCAAGACGTGGTTCTGGGAGATACAGACCTGTCCGGCGTTCAACGTCTTCGCCCACAGGAGACGGCGAGCGACCAGTCGCATATCTGCCTTCTTCGTCACGATGGCCGGGTTTCGTCCTCCGAGTTCGAGGGAGACCGGGGTTAGAGTCTTTGCGGCAATGGAGGAGACAATCTTGGCGGTACGTGCAGAGCCAGTGAAGAAGATTTTGTCCCATTTCTGCTCAAGCAATGTTGAAGTCTCGGGAATAGCGCCCTGAACGCAGACAAAGCTATCTGGGTCAAGCGCTGCCGTCATAATCTTTTGCATGACCACAGCGCAATTAGGTGTCTGTTCGGAGGGCTTCAGTACCACGGTGTTGCCACCAGAGATGGCCCCAATCATAGGTCCGAAAGCCAGATTGACTGGGAAGTTGAAGGCGCTATTCAGTTTCTCAGCATACCAAATCAATCACTGTATTCTCACCAAAGCACCTTACCCAATCACCAAGACCACCCCGAGAGGATCCTTTCTGATCCTTGGGCTCACGAACTTGTTCATGAATGAGATATCTGCGGGCTTTTCATCCTTAGACCACTTCTCTAAGTTTTTCTGAATGTAGATGATGTCGTTCTTGCACCATGATACCTCGGTGACGATGGATTCGAAGTAACCCTTGCCTAGGTCTCGCTTACAAGCTTCCACCAGTTCGGCTTCATTATCTTCGATGGCCCAGTACAATTTACGTAACTGTTCAAGACGGAATTGTAGAGGTCTGGTCTTGCCGGAGAGGAAAGTCTTGCGCAATCGGGTGACGACCGTGGGAATGCTCTCAACTGGAGTGGTTTGGAACCGTGGGAGCTCGATTTCCCTACCCATCTCAAACAGTAGCTCTTCGTCAGCAGTGGTGTTTGTGCTTTGGTACGATAGGGATAGTTTCGCGGGGTGATCAGAGCCCTGTAGATATGTGTGGATGAGGGGAGATACTGGGCAAGGCAACTGGAAGCTTGGTCTGCAGGATTCGGCATTCGGAAAACCGAACTCGGACATTGCAAAAGCAGGACGTGGTCGATGTCCAGTTACTGTTGGCATCACGTGCCTAGTGGGCTGGGATCCACCGGATCCCAGTGTGCACTTCGCCCTCCTGAGGACACAGTTCTGGTTTCTCTCTAGTTATCATCAGTTATCATCAGTGATCAGTTATCACAATCGATCAATTCAAACAGTGCCTACTTCTAGGTTTTCAGTTACCATGCCTCGGTATTGCAAAAATAGTGCATAGCCAACATGACATACCTAAACCCGCCCTGATCCCACCTTCATCCCCTGCGCACAAGGTGTAGGGTTTCACGTTGTTGATGAAGTTCTGCTGTGGGGCGTTCGCTCGCATGGAAACGGGCACCTATTCTCAGTCCACTCACCAACTAACTATGTTGATGATCAAGAACGCATGCTTCTTTTTGCAAATGGTCAACGCATGGGAACATTCCTGGTACAATATGAATCGATTACGAAGTGATAACATGGCTCGCCCTGCTAGCCAAGTTTGAAGAGAGTGAAATTTGAAGAATGTCTCAGAAGAGAGAGCATCTTTGTCATGCTGTGGAAGTTGATGGCGTGGAGAGTCTCCCTGTATTACTGCCAACCAAAATAGGTGTCATGCATTGGGTCACACATCTCATCCGAAAATGTCCCGAAAAATTGCATGATCTCATTTCCTTGTAGTGCCTGTGAGCCTGCGTCGGAAAATTCGGTGTCCTCTAACACGGTCGACAGCGACTCAAGTGCATTTGCTCCATTTGCTCCATTTGCTCCATTCGCTTCATTGAAAGTGGAATCAAAGTTTTCGTTCGCCTGTGAAGATCCTGTAGGACCCGCCAATAGTCCCAGGAGGGGTGTCATTTGCGTGCCCAATCCAGGTCCGGCAGCAGGGTTGTCATCCGGCGACTTCAACAACTCATTTCTCATGAAAGATGCGTCTTGAGGATTTGACAGCCGTTGGACGAACTCCTGGGCAAGAGCTGCGAGAGTGGGAAGGATAGAGTATGGAAAGACATGTTTGGTGGCGTATTCTAGACGGCGGAAATATCCTGCAGCGACCTGCAAAAAAGTCACGTTGTCTTGTGTCTGGACATGTGTCGGATTATTGATGACGAGCTGGAAAAGGCTGAGAAATGCCGATAGAGGGACCGCCGACAAGAGCCTGCTAACTTTCAGAAACATGCGTGAGGGAAAATGTGCGCGAGCTGAGTACGTACAGGGAGGGTGTGTATGGCTCCACTTCGAGATGGGCCGTCAGCTCAATCACCTGACGGGCAGAGCTCATAAAGTTTTCGCGGCATTGTGAGAGATATGCACTTGAAGTCGTCTCAGCAACCTTCAAACGTAGCCGACACAGCACCATCACCATGTTATGATAAACAAGGTGTGTCCGCAACGCGACCACTACGGAAGCCAGGCTCCCAAACCGTGCACGTGTAAAACTTTCCCTCGGCCGAAAATTTGAGGGTACAGACATCCTCCAAGTCTCCAAATCGTCGTTGATGCCTTGAAGGTCTTGCCAATACTCGTTCTTGGATTTCATGGTCGCGCTGACCGAGAAAAGCTTAGTCTGAGCCTTGGAAAGCAATCGTCCAAAGCGGACTGAGGACAGGAACCAGTTGAAATCGCCAAAGACGGCTTCAGGAACGTCTGGGATATGGCAACCAATGTCATCATCGGAAATTACCTATGAGCTGCGAGTCAGACAAATATCTGTTAGATCGTAGTCGATGTAGAGCACGTACGGAGGTTCTTCCCTGGGTAAAACATGACAACTTCTCCACTGAATAGATAACCCAGAAGGTCCTTTGGTGGGCACCCTCTGCCGCCCCAGCCGAACCTTTGTTGAGTCGAGCAAATTGAGCCATCCTTGCAGCTTCTGATAATTGCGTCTCCGCAATTTGAGAACCAGACGGTGTCATAGCGAATAAGAACTGTCAAGCTCATGTCAGCAAGTGGTATTTGTCGAAGCCAGGAAATGAAATCCCACGGTTGCAAAAACAGCCTGCATATTTGTCAGTGGTTTGCGGTGTACGGCCGGGACGTTTCCTGACCTGGATTGTTACTAAGCCGAGTCTTGGACCTTTCAATTCATGGAATCGGCCTAGAGCTGCTTGAAATAAGTGCCATGATCTTCCTCTTCCGGCGTCGAACGACCCGTGGCCTTTGTACTGGCTGCCGATCGCGAGGACGGCATGGTACAAAACAAAAAATGGGGCATCTTGTTCTAACACAAGATCAAGTTCTGGATCGCTTGCCTGTTCTTCAAACTCTTTCTGCACTAAAAAGGGAAACACTGGATGCACAAAATCGAAATAACCTACAATACGCCGTCAGCACCTTGGGCTCTTGGTGAGGTGAGAAGTTGGACTCACATTTGATATACTCAGACCGCTCTTCTCGGGTCAGTTGCAACTGAGTTGACTGCTCCGAGAACCTCACCTTTGGATAAGTCTTGTTGGGAGTTCGGTGCAGGCGCTTATTGATAGAATCAGACATGGTCTTGAACAAATCGTCCAAGTGGCTGTTGCTAAGTCGATCGGACATTGACTGAATGTCACTCTCCGAGAATATAGAGAGACTAGCACTTGAAACTTGCTCCACGTTAGGATTGGGATGTTGATCGGCGCACGTGGACCTCCTACTGCTCTGCTTCTCGCACTGCCACCAAGATCAATTATAAGTTAGAGCGTAAGGAGAGGTCGTGGAGCATGTTACCCTGGGTATGAGGCTCTCTTGGAATTCCTTGCCCCGGACTCGCTCACTTTCCAACATATGATCCATGTAGAGCTCATCCGATGAGGCCCTGGCAGGATTGTCGACAGAATTGGTGGAACTGATGGGCCAAGAGAGTTGTGGATGTGGCTGGTCGGGAAGTCGAAAGGTTCCAGCCAAGGATGCTGCCGTATCGGAAGGGTTTGGGTCATTCAACATGACCGGCGGAATTTGAGACACCCAGGTCGCGCCAGACGCTCCAGGGCAATCTTGTACGTTCCTGTTTTCGTAAGTGCTCTTTATCTTCCTTTTGCTTTGGCTGAAGTGGCATGCCGTCCGACGTTTCTCGGTCCTGGACTCAATATTCAGGTTATTTTGATTTGAATGTGAAGACCTACCGAGCAATTGCTACAGGATGTCTGATTGGGGCTGATAGATCCTGGGGGGAATAATTAGCCGCTTCACTTGCGAAGTCTTGGGCGGGACAGCGGTAGCCTGGACATACCATCGCATCGTACTTTACGAGATTTGCAGCTGTCACAGGTCTTTGAAAGTCGTCCGTCGATCATGATGTGATGGACGGAGGGTGCCGGGAGCATGTGTGAGATTGAAGAATGTTATACAAGAAAGCCTCGGTCTGGCGGCTGAGCTTGGTTTTAAAGCGTTTAGATATGAGGGGAACAAACGCCACGATTTGGCCAAGCCGCCCCAGAACAAATTTAGGTCAGCTGGGTGACGGGTGTATGTGGGGTGTGAGAGGAGCCTTACAGAACGGACCCACTTTTGCCACAAAACCGCAACCAGGCTTTGTTGTTGTTGTTGTTGTTAGAATGTCATTACCACAAACGCAGCAAAAGATATTGCTTGTTCAGCTCTACAAAATTAGAAGATCTACTCTATTTAACGACTTTTAATTCGCCATCTCAAACAATGACACAATAGCAACCAGCTGTTGAAGGTGTATGTAAGGATATTATTTTTTGAAGATAGGTGTCGCAAGTAATGTAAACGTCCACTACGAGTCCACCAAGGCGTCGAGATGTCGGAGTCAACTCGAAAGATTTAGTGTCCGTCATGAATTGCCCTGTCAATACACTGCGACACATGACTACTCCGGAATCTTGAGTATCGAGAAGCCGGAGGATCCAAAAGCTTGCTCTTGCTATCAGAGTTTCGTAGGAATCGGCAACTTCGTCCTAAATTGTATATCGGAAACCTTCGAGGCCTTCCAGAATCTTGCCCTTTCTGTCGGCCTTTCTGTTTTGGCTCCAGAAATATAGACCCATGCTGGAGGTTATGATTAGACAGAGGCCCAGACTGGTAAATGTTGCGTAGAGCCCGGGCCTGTAATTTGGAAAATCTTGTTGGCGAAAGTAGAGAGAACCAGCAATTCCGCCGATCCCTCCAAAGGTCGTCTGCAGTGGTACCGAAATCTGGCGCTTAGATGCTCCCACCACGTTATTGGCAAGAAACGCATAAACCGTCGGAATGGCGGACAAACTGCCCGCGACGGAGAAGAAAATGCCCGTCATTCTGGAACCGATGTTGGGGCCCCAGCCAATCAGTACAAATCCCAACATTTGAAGTACCAGATGGGCAATGATAAAAGGGCTTCGCATGTGAAGTTTGTCGGCAAGAATTCCAGTCGCGATAGATACAAGTGATCCGAAAATGTAGGGTGGAGTGACCAGGATCTGGCTCATCTCCACGCTGAACCCTATAGAATTGAGTATGGTGGGAGTGAAGAATGTCAATGTATAGACGCTTGCGGTGACGAAGAACAGTAAGGAAGACAAGACCCAAACTCGCCAATCCTGGACAGAATTTAGTACTTTGGCGGACGTCAATTTCTCGTCAAGCGTTTCTGCTCGATCATCTTGGAGTTGTCTTCGCAAGAAGGTCAGCTCCTCTGGAGCCAACCATTTGGCCTTCTCGGGAAACTCCGACGCCCAGAACCAGATAGGCAGAGTAAGGACTACTGTTATGAGGCCTGGGACGAGAAAGATCCAGCGCCACCCTTCAAGCCCTCCGACACCATGCTGGAGGCTGAGACCATACGAAATGATACCTGAAAATGCCGCCAAGATGTTTCCGGAGGTAAACCAAACGGCAAGACGATGTTGTGTTTCGTACCGGGTGTACCAAGATGAGATCAGGTAGATACATGCAGGCTTGGGCTCGAGTCAGTATGAAAATGCCATGGAATCTCTTTGTACCTACCTGAAACCCGGCCTCAAACATTCCAAGCAGCAGTCTTACTACCACGAGCTGCGCGTATGTGTTCACAAAGGCATGACACATTGACACAACACCCCAGCCTAAGACCATGCCGGCTAGCAGGTTTCTTACACCAACTAGCCGGATAATCGAAATGCTCGGAATCTCCAGAATTGTGTAGAGGAGAAAGAACACAAGGAGGGCGACAGAGTATTTGTTTCCATCAAGATTGAGATCCTCGCCCATCCCTGCCACTTTGGCAGTCCCAATGTTGGTCCTGTCAATAAGACAGAACATCAGGAGGACAATAAGAAACGGGATAACTCGCAGATCAATTTTTCGGTTCAGTCGTTTTCTGAAGGCAGCTTCACCTGCTGATAGCTCAACATGATCTGTTTGGATTATAAGATCATCTCCCATGGTCTTCCTTGGTTCCAAGGCTGTTGAAGGGCACTATGAACTGATAGAAGCAAGCGAGAAAAAGGGTACTGTAGATTGCCAGAGGAGAGAAAGGCTTACAGTGTTATCGATCTGATTGCAAGTAATAGAGACCACTTTATAGAACTAGCGAACCCCGGAATCCGGGGCCCCAGATAAATCATCTGGCTCTCCGAACCGAAAAGAAGGTACGGACTTCGGTAACCCGAACTCTAGCGGAACCTCGATCCGCTTAAGTCAAAGCTACGGACATCGCATCGATTCTCAGCAACAGCTCTGCTGAGTGGCTTCGAAATAAGGACATAGTGGAGTTCAATACGTTTCACATGACACGATCACACAGTAATGTCTTTAAGAAATAAACGACTACGATCATTTTGTGGGGGTTCTGCAAGAATACGAGCTCCAGAACGCATAAAATTGAGACGACGATAAAGGTATCACTCATAACTTGACTAGGCTGAGAAATTCTGGGTCTTACGACCATCGCTAGCACACTGAGTAATAGGTTTGTCTACCCAATGGGCTCCTTGGCCAACTACGAGTGCAATTGCCGTTATAGAGCAACACGACCTAGCTTAATCACCAAGTATCTCGCTTGCCAACAGGAGAGCATCTCTTCCGGCTGCCATACCAGTATAAAGCATAGCGTGACGAAGAGTCTCGCATATCTCATCCTTTGACAGACCATTATGCTGCGCCGATAGTAAATTGATCCGTAGCTCGTCTTCGCGATTAAGCGCTATAAAAATCGCAATATTTATAAGGTTCCGTTCTCGAAATGTGAGCCCCGGTCGGGCATAGCTAGACAGGGTATTCTCGAGGGTATACTCCATCAGAGTCTTGGTGAAGATATTAGCTTTCTGTTTGATGAGTTTTAGTGACACTCCCAGTGAGAATGGTCTTAGCAACAAGCAGCAATCTCACATCTTTCTTGCGCAAGTCATCCACAAGATCATTGCCGAGAAATTCCACCGCCATCTTTTGCCCCAGGAGAAACTTTTCTGTGTGTTCTGGTGCAGCCATTGTTTGGGTCGCTCGTCTTGAGACAATCGAATGCTCTGAAGAAGGCTGCTCTTAGTGGTAGAGAGAAGGCAAATCAATTTGAAAGGTTTGATGCAAGCGGCAATGTCTGTTAGGATCGAAGTAACGGAGGAGCAGACTAAATACTTCGGCAAATTTGTCAGAGCAGAAGCTTGCGGTGGTACTCTTTCTAACGGAACCCAGTATTCGGTATTCGGACTTGGAAATTCAAATACAGTCTGTGCAAAATTCGCTGTTCTTGGTCATCCAGACACAACACCGAGAATGTTTTCGGCATTGTAGTTGTAGATCCAACCTGGCCCACCGCCTCGATACTTGTAAAATTTGAACAAAGCCCAGATGGTCCATTCCTTCATCATCTGTACCAAGAACATGGAGCTCCTCTTTCTCATGTCTCCAGCTCGGATAGTGTAATCCAAAATTTCGCTCATTCGCTGGATGCGATGTTTCTCCCACTTTCGGAGGCCTTCTGTCACCTTCGCCTGATTGTAATCAGGTAAGCTCGACTTGCCCAACACGTAAGAAAGAGTCTCCGCATCTTCGAATGCCATCGCTGCCCCTTGGCCTCCTGATGGTGGAATTGCGTGTGCGGCGTCACCCACCAGGATGATTCTTCCTGACGTAGAGACATAATTCTCCAGATCTGGGACCTTGGCAAATCTGGAAACTTGGGATCAGTTCAACATGAATGAAAGAGCATTTCCAGTAAACTCACGGCCAGGATCTAAAATCTGGTAAAGCAGTCGCTTTCAGTAAATCTTTCACAATGGTAGGCCAGCTCGCGTCTTGAACGACTTCCTCAAAAATCTGACCAATTTGCTCTTTGTCCGTTTCCAGGCGGTCCCATTCCTCTCCTCTGTCCGGAACATCAAGCGTGGCAAAGTACCCGACCTCGTGGCCATTATAGCTGGATGGTAAGATTGTAAATGCGCCATCCTTACCAAAATACATGCATGGCACTTTCGCACCATCCCAAGTCTGAGCAATTTTATCTCTTGTAGTATGACCCAGGACAACCAGTAAACCAGAGTACTGAGCTTCGCTACCAGGGTATAGGTATTGCCGAACGCGGGAATGAATGCCATCTGCGCCGACTAGGAATTTTGAAGAAACAATTTCACCATCCTCAAAATGGGCCATGACCTGATCCTCACTTTCAGACACCTTGACGCACTTCTTGTTGAAATGGATGGGAATCCTCTGGACCTTGACCTCTTCAATTAACACTTTTCGAACGACATCTCGGTTGATACGAAGAGCACTATAACTGAAAAGATCCTGTCCCCCATTTCGAAAGGAACCAAGAGATTTTCCGGCGCTGTTCATCATCTCAAAGGTGTCATAATTGTATCCTAACTTGCGGGCTTTTCCGTAAGCGCCGACATGGTCCAAGACACGCAATGCATTTGGCGCCAGTGCAATATCGCCTCCTTTCCGGTAGCTCTCATCTCGCAGTTCGTAAATCGCACAGGGAACGTCTTGTTTGCGCAAAGAGAGGGCGAGACTCAACGCCTGCGAAAATGGTGTAAGTAATCTACCAGTAGCTGGCTGGAAATCTTACCGCCAAGCCGCCTCCAATGATAGTTACCGTTTCCATGTCGTATCGTCCTCTTAAGCACTATTTCTGTAAAAGCACCCAGCAACGGCGTCTCCTTTGCTACCCAAACAGGAAATAAAGTAGATAAACATATTCTTCTTACCTGATCTTGAAGGCGCGATAGAGATTTAAAAACAGAACGGCTAAGTCTAACGTCCTTGCCAGTAGGGGCCCGCGCTCCGCCTCGGCTGTCCGAGAAGAATGGTCAGACAACGGGGTTCGGCTTGACCAGGGCAGAATGTGAATCCCGAATACCTTGAAAGTGATGTGTTAGCGCTGATCCAGCGTATAGCTTGTGGCTGCGCGTCATGGGAACTTGTCTCAATTCCCACGCCGTGAGAAAATGTCACATTGATGTTTCTTTATAGTATTGAAAATCCCGAAACTCACACCGATATCGTATCAATCCACTCCAAGTCCGGGACTAGTCGTCATGCCAAAATACACAGTTGCAACTCAAAGAGCTCCTGTGCAGAAGCACATCAGTTCAATCCTGCCTCGGCTCCGACATTCCACCAAGTGCTGCGAAGGACTCATTTCGTTAAATCTGCTAGGGAGATCCGCACCTGCTATGGGCTCCCAGGCATCACCAACGCAGTGCAGAATTGGATTAGATTACAAATGGCTGCCCCGATAGATTACATCCGTCGTGTCGGTGGCAATGAAGGCTATACCTATTTCCCAGTGCTTATTATTGGAGCTGGAGAATCTGGCATTGCCATGGGATGCAAGCTCCGCCAGGAGCTGGGCTGCGACCAGTTTCGCATCGTCGAGCGCAAGTCTGCATTGGGAGGAACATGGTACACAAACCAGTATCCCGGTATCGCGTGCGACATGTGAGTTTCCGCGTTTCATCGAACTGCCTTTATTGACGGCTTCTAATTATTTCTATTAGTCCCGCAATCTGCTACTCTTACTCGTTCGCGCAGAACCTCCGATGGACGTCCATGTTCCCTTCCGGAAATGAGCTCATCCGCTACCTCTATGATGTCTGCGAAAAATTCCGGATCCTTGACAAGATCCAACTAAACACGTCGGTGAAGTCGATACGCTGGGTTGACACCGATGACGAGTGGGAGGTAGAGTTGGATCATTTGGCCCCGGGCGTCGGTGACTTGGCGACCTATGAACGGGTCCAACTCGAGAATGATAAGGGGGTGTCTCAGGTTGTCTTGCGGACTGAAACTGTGCGAGCAAAGATTGTCGTCTCTGCCGTTGGTGGTCTGGTCGAACCGAAGCCTCCGATTGAAGTTGAAGGAATGGACACCTTCGAGGGCAAGATTATGCACACTGCTCGCTGGGATCCAACTGTCGATCTAAGGGGCAAAGACGTTGTGGTTGTTGGCTCAGGCTGCTCCGCTGCCCAGGTCATCCCTCACCTAATAACTCCAGAATTTGGCGCAAGAAGCGTCACTCAATTGATGCGCACTCCTCCTTGGACGACACCCTTCCTCGCTCCTACCATGACAGAATTCTACAAGAAATGGTTCCCATTTCTCTCTCAAAACATCCCATATTTTCAGGCCTTCGTGCGGAAACTCATATTTGGCATGCTGGAACTCGAGTTCGTCACTCTTTTCCTGCCGACAAGAGCTGCCGAAGCCCAACGCAAGAAGAAAGCAAAGGAGCTTCTGGGGTATATGCAACAAGTCGTACCAAAAGAATATCACGAAATTCTAACCCCCGACTATGAAGTCTACTGCAAACGCAGAGTTGTGGACGAAGGCTGGTTTAAAGCGCTGCAGGCGCCGAACGTCGAGATCACAACCCTTCCTTTGACTAAGATTGGACCTCAGAGTGTTACACTCGGGCCAGGTAGGCACTATCCACCCATGTCAAAGACAGACTCCTTCGCACCGTCCAAAGAGAAGGTGATTCCCGCAGATGTCATTATTATGGCACATGGTTATGAGACAAATAAATGGCTGCATCCTCTTGACGTTACTGGCCGTAACGGAAGGTCCTTATACAAGACTTGGGACGAGCGGGGAGGAGCACAAGCATACCTAGGTGTCGCGATGGATGGATTCCCGAATTTCTTTATTATTTTCGGACCGAACACTGTTACTGGCCATAGTAGCGCTATTCTGGCCTCGGAGAACATGGTCAACTACAGTCTCAACTTCATCCGACCTATTCTGCGCGGCGATGTACTCACTTACGAGGTAAAGGAGTCCGCAGAGCGCCAGTGGACCGAAGACATCCAGAGGGATTTGAAAACGAGCCTCTTCATGACGGGCGGGTGTAAAAGCTGGTATATAAGCAAGACTGGATGGAATGCAAGTGCCTATCCGTGAGTTTGAATTCAACCGCGTCACTATCGCAGCTAACAAGCAGGAAAAGCCGATCGCAAATCGACTTTACGTTACGGTGTATGTTCCCCAAGTACCGACACTGGAACGCCGTCTATACTCGCAATGGCCTGCGTAAACGCCGTCTTGTACTAACACTACGACTATTCGCCATATTGTGGTCTATCAGCAGCGCTATCTACATTTGGCGTAACGGCACGGAGAAGGCTCAACAGTTCCTCAGATACGGCGCACAGAGCCTACTCTCAGGCGGGCAGGCTTTGCTCCGAAGGGCAAATCAAATTGCATCGATGTCCACTGTATCACTTAGAACATAAAGCAGTCTTGTAAAGGCTATATTGAGTTCCATCTTAGTAACGCTGATACCAAATGTTATGAATAGCTTGCATGAGAAAGGTGTGAGTGTTGAAAGACCTGTCAGCAATTGTCCAGACGCCTCTGGGAGTCGCCCCAAAACACTACTATCACGCGACCATGATTCCCTCTGTTGCAAGTCGTCTTTACCAGATGGCACTTCGACCGGAGCACGCCTCCTGCGATTTATTCCCCGCCTCCCAATATTTGCAACCGTTAGTCAAGCTGTCGCCTTCAATGCATCCGCATAGAATAGCGGGTATTGCCATGTTCACTATCATAGATCCTATCTGTCGAACTCCCCTTGTTCTGCAGTCGGATTTACTAGTCATTGTCATTGTCACATCTATCCTCATCAGAGTGACCATTGCTTCGCCCACCAACAGAGGGCTGCAAAGTGTTCAGTTTCTCTAGCTCTGAATGTCCTTTATGTGTGTGTCTTTATTCCTTAGGGACTGAGAGCTGGTTATACCCTCGTCCCTTTTTCGGCTCATGAAAGATGTTGTTTGTGCTGCAATCAGACTGGGCTGTTTCGCATAACCCCTTTTCCACCTTTACGCAGCGGCATTGATCAAGGCCTTGAAAACCAATTGGAGAGGAAGTCTCAGTTAAGATATTTATTGAACCAATTAACAGCTTGTAGCAATGCTGCATTGTACCCTTCCATATTTATCTCGTCCTCCTTTGCTCGAACGCAGAAACCATGTTTACAGCCCTTGTAAACCTTGAACTCGTACTTGTAGTCTTCATTTCCATCTCCTGATCCTTCGGAGAGCCGTTCACGTATGTTTGCCTCAATATTGTTGGCAACCTGGGCATTGAATTCCCAGTCGTCACCCGCTACTGCGCTAGAGTAGGGTACCCGAAATTCCTCGATCGCCCGTCTGATCATGTCTGCGCTCTCATTCAGATAGCTCGGGTGGCCGTTGAATTGTGCATCGATTAGCCTCTCCGAACCTCCGTCGATGGTCGTCTCGGTACAAAGCATAGTTGAACCCCATCCACCCCAACAAAAGCCAGATACGCCGAGTTTGCCTCCAGCCGGGATCTCTTGTCGCATGGCACGGGTGAACTGTAGTAGCTTTGGATAAACCCTCTTAGGATGGCCAAAGAGAACAAATGGTAGCACTTGTGGGAGAATGTACAAGGTTGCCAGAACCTTCTGCGCGATGCTTCTGACGCTGAATTTTGGGATTGGCGTCAGAGTCATTTCCATGTAGGGGAAAATGTCGGGATTCAATCCATTGTTAAAAACGATATCTGGAATGAGCACCCGGCATCCAGTTAACTCGGCATATTTATCTGCCAATATCATGTTGTTAACCAGGCGAAGGCTAAAGGCATCTGGAAGATAGATTATGGTTGATTTGCTTCGCGTTGGATCACTTCCTCCTGCGATGTAGGTTCGGATTCCGCCCAAGTTCTGAAAGCCACCTGTGGGCTGAGTGCGAGTGTGCACTGTTCCACGGAAACACTCTGGACACGACATCGACGCTGGGATTCAGATTGCGAAAAAGTAGGTAGGTAGACGATAATGAAAATCCGCGAAATGTAAATACCGATGTCGATTTACTCGGTCAAGCTATTTCTCGGAGTGCGGCTTCCAAGGTTGTCCTCGAAGTGATATATAATCTTATCTGTATGCATTCCCCGTGAGGAGAGTTGCTGTTCCTCCGTTTGAAAGACAAACTCGCAATACATGTCTCCCCATGCCTCGGCCTCGGTGAAGATCCAACTTTCTTTATTGATTTGAAAGCAAACAGTTCCTCAAGACTCGGACAAAATGGCTGATATCCGAGCGTGAGATACGTTCCACCGAATTAATAAAAAGGATTGCCATTTATACGGGAAGCATAAAGGTTGACCCGAAAAACTCGGTACCCCGATCTTCCGAGCATTATATCGGCCGACGATAAGTATAATCGGAGATCGGCCCTCGGACATTTTGGACCTGGGAGCCAAGAAGGCTTATTTTTAATCACGACTTCCGAAGTCCGGTGATACGTACCGGTGCTGGAAGTGTTTTTCCCAGCGGAGGTTATCTGGGTTCGACAGCTTTAGAGGGAGGCCGTTATTTAATGCAGTGCTTTTTGTAGGGGTCGTATGTATAGAGAGAGTATCGAGGTCTCTGATTGACTAAAGATTGTTATCAATCTTCGCACTCATCACGTGATCAAGATTCAAGTCACGTGATGACGTGAACTGTGCACGTGATTTTCAAGTGAGTTTGCCGCTGATTCGAATTTACTGAGGCCCCTTAGCAGGTGGGTCCAGATTTAGGCTTCACGGTCTATTTTTCGCTGAAGAGCCCCTGAGGTGGGATGAAGATATTGTAACACTGTCAGAAAGGGCCTATGGAGATAGGCAGAGGGTAGCGATCGGTACAAGCAGGTATAGGTATTCCTTGATAGTATATCTTAACTGAAACTTCAAGCTTGAGGGAAGGAAGCTTCCCTCAGGCGGTGAGCATGCGGTGCTCAATTAATAGGGGGTTGTCACGTGTAAGTTATGCTTGGTGGTTCGTGACAGGTAATGGCGGCCCACTTCTAAGACTCTACAAAGAGAGGCTCTATTCGACCGTCGACGTAGGATCCTTATCTAGCGCGAGAGTAGAGATCCATTTTCAAAGGGACGCGGAGGGTCCTACGTAGGTGAGGTGAGTGAGGATAAGTAGGAAGATAAGTAGGAGGTAAGTAGGAGGTGAGCGGTGTTTAAAAGCGGCGTAGGTCGGGTGAGTGTCGCGGTGAGCTCGGTGTGAATTTACCATATCTTGACCTGCCAAGGGACAAGGATGCCTGTGCGGATCTGCGGCTGGGGCCTTGCCTTCTTCCTGGCTGGAAACAATAGTTGGACCTGCCTTTGTGTGACAAAGACGAGCGTGACAGTTCAAGCGAGGGCGGTGTTAGGTGGTGAAGCAACTCAGCTAAACTTCTATGCTGTCGCTATATCAGAAAATTGAAGTAGATGTGATTATTGTGCCGAAAAACGAATGGGTTTCTGTGAATCTAGACAGATGTGAATTGGGCCAGAGCATGCCCAGTGCCTGTGCCGCAAACTTAGGCACATGTTAGTCCACACCACCAAACGATGTTCAGATCCTGTGACGAATCAATTCTCGTTCAATCTCCTTTGACATCTTCATAGACGACAGCTTCATTAATCCCTGTCCTAGAGAGCACATCCTTGTCTGCACCAGCCCCGGAAATGGTTGTCACGTGATGACAAGCCGGCCCGACGTCACCCGTTTGTAGAAGCAGCATTGAAATATGCAGACATACGAAGTCTCACTCCTTTCCCACCACTAACCTTATCTTCTCCTGTTCTTGTCCTTTTGCGTTTGCTTTTAGAGATAATCCTCACTCCGTACCGTTAACCGTGCTCTTAAGAGCCTCGTCAAGAGGTTGCGACACCGTCCCTTCCTTACTTCCCGCCTGCGCAAAGTGACGCGTTGAGAGACGCGCTCACGCATCACCCGGTCACAATTGAGAATGAGTTGGAGGGAGTGGCTCACACTTTGTATAAGACGAAGAACAATGACACTGTTCATACCGTATCCAGCGCGGTGACTGCATCAAAAGAAAGGATGTGGCGGTTATTGTACTTGTTCTTGCTGTTTATCCGTGTCTATTTTGCTGTGTCGCCTAGTTATCTTCACCCCGACGAGATCTTCCAAGGGCCAGAGCCTGTCGCTGGTACGCATCGGTGAATCTCTTTGAGTACTTCGCAATGCTGACGTCTTCTGTGCAGCGTACCTATTCCCTTATCCGACTCGTCCAACATGGGAATGGACGTCTTCGCGCCCTATCCGCAGTGTCTTTCCATTGTGGCCAATCTATGGATTGCCCATGACCCTCTTGAAATGGACCTGGGCGCAGGAAGAAGATGGAGATTGTGTCGATACCACCGTCATCTATTATACCCTCCGCCTCGTCATGTTTCTTCTGAGTTTCGTCCTGGAGGATTGGGCTGTTCATGAGTTGGTCCGCTCTCCTCGACGCTGGATTCAGGCCGTCATTCTAGTCACTTCCTCCTATGTGACTTGGACCTTTCAAACACATACCTTTTCAAATTCCGTTGAAACCCTTCTTGTTTTGTGGAGCCTGGTTATGATAGAGCGCATTTTGCGCGACAAGGTATGTGACCTGCCGCGGTCCTTGATAGACCATGTGCTGACGGAGGTGGTCAAGAAACGGTCAGCAATCGCCTCGAGTGCGGTCCTAGGGTTTCTTTTTGTATTCGGAATCTTTAATCGGGTTACTTTTCCCGCCTTCGTCGTGATACCCGGCATTCAACTCTTGCCACATTTTTGGAATAGGTGAGTACTAGGTCGATTATACCCGACCTTGATGCCCAGCTGCCTCGAGTTACAATGCTGACATGAATTTGAGACCTTTCTGCCTTCTTGCCCTTTCACTTTCCGGCATTTTCTGGACACTAATCGCAATCATAATCGACACCGCCTACTATTCTGGACCGTCAGCCACGAGGTCTTTCCGTGCACTCTACGACCATGTTTGGAAGAGTCCAGTAATCACTCCTCTCAATAATCTACTGTACAACACACAGACCAGCAATCTTGCGCAACACGGTCTTCATCCCCATTATCAACACATCCTGATCAACCTGCCTCAACTTCTCGGCCCAGCGTTTATCCTCCTAATCGCCTCTGTCTACCCGTTCAATCTTCGCATTCTGAAGGGACTCCTCTCGAACAATCGGCTCGCCTCTGCTGGTGCGGGATGTCTTCTCCTCAGCTTAATCCCGCACCAAGAACCGCGGTTCCTCCTACCCGCTGTCCCTCTCATACTGACAAGTATTCGTGCTCCATCTTCTAGGATAAGGGCGATACTTTTCTGGACTACTTGGGTAATTTTCAACGGAGTTCTCGCAATCCTTATGGGCGTATATCACCAGGGTGGAATCATCCCTGCTCAACTTGCTATGCCTTCCTTAGTAACACATTCATTGAACACAACCCACTCGGACGCCCATAATGTTGAAATCTTCTGGTGGAAGACTTACCCCCCGCCAACCTTCCTTCTCGGCTCGGACCCACCACATCCTACGACCAACAGATCGCTGAACATCTCGACCGTTCCCCTGATGGGCTACCCTCAAAATGAATTGGTCTTCATGCTCATGCAGCACATGCCCACGTGCGATCCAACACTTGTGGAACGGTTGATCTTACACAAAGAGAAGACGGATATCTTTGTGGTGGCGCCACTCAGCGCATGGCGTCTTGATGCTTCCAACCCTCTCCTGACTTCCTCCAACCATCTTTCTGTCCAGAAGGCGGAATTCACCTATCCTCCGGTCTCCAATTTTAGCTTCGCAATTGATATGAACATTCCACCTGCACAGTTGACCTTGACCAATTTGGCAGTGTTCCGCCGACATTTGAATCTTGACGACTTGGATTTTGGGGATGATGGAGTTTGGCCTACGTTGGAGAGAGTCGTGGGCAGACGAGGACTGGGCGTGTGGCGGGTCGACCGCATCTGCGGCCCCGTGGAGTACGTGGATGCACACACGGGGGAGAAGCTTACGGCGGAACAAGTAAATGTCAGGAAGGCAGAGAACAACGAGGGTCGGGAGGATTTGGTTCAAGAGGCAGACTCGTTTGAAGACGCCGGCAGGGTATCAAGTTCGGCTGTGATTCACACCACAGCGGCGCCTGAAGAACAAGACCAGAGGAGAGTCAGCACGACCACAATAACCCCAGATAGTCCAACAGATGATCCCAGCCTCGATCTCTGAAGAGCGGGGCCTGGCCGTGGATTGCGCTGGGAACTCTCCCTGGTGGTGGATAGGAATGTCCACAAACATTCTAAAGCAAACGCGTAATCGACTGCGATTGGTGTGTTCTGTAGATGTCACAAGTCTCTACTTCCAATTCAGGGGACTGAAACAAAGTGCCTTAAATTGCCTGGCGGATGGTCGACGGGGTAATTCTTCATTCATTCCTTTGATCTACCAGCAGGAGTGTTGTAGGGTGGATTGTCTCGGGCCTGGAGCTTGTAGCCCATGTCGGCCGCTTGTTTGCCTTTTGGTTGCTCCATCAGACATGAAAACTTGGCTAGACTAGCTATGGGACTTTGACTGGCACCGGGAGGTGAACTTGCACTATGTCCTGGAATATGCATAGCCGGCGTGGGCTTCCCAGTACATGATCATCTCTGTCGTTGCCTTTAGCAAACCCCCATTATCACCGTCAAAAGGCTTGAAAGGCTCTCTCCTCATGCTCATGAGCGACCAAATCGGTCGTCGACTCCTGATGTCAGACGTAGACCATCCAAAGAAGTATTGCGCACGGCACCAGAACTCCACTTTCGAGTTCGAACCCCAGTTGTGATGATATGGCGCTAATGGCGATGGAATTCCCAGAATCACTGCTCTTCGTCATCAGGCTGCTCGAAGAGGAAGTTCGCAGCTAGTTCCTCATTCTTGTCACAAGCAAAGTAGGCCTGGATGACCTGATCACGGGGAAAGCCAAGCCGGCAGAGCCGTTCGATAGCGTCTCGCTCCTCCTCGGTCACATGGATCTGGGTTGCTCCAGGCGGGAGAGTATCTTGAGCATCCTACAGAGTCAAGTCAGCCTCGCCGGTTTCGAAACCTGGTCTCTTGTACTCACCTCCGCCAGCAGCTGAAGGAACTGATCCTGATTTGAACCGATCATCTGTGCAAGCTCGGGATTACCCTCGGCAAGTTGCTGCAAGATAGGTTCGAGCATCGCAGGTTGCTGCTGGACAAATTGTCTGAGTTGCTGGAAGTGCGGGCTGTTTCGCAGGAAATCCATGTTTGTCGCTACCCCTCCTTGACCTCCCGCTGGGGCTCTTCTTCCACCTCCTGGCCGACCGGCCTGTGCTGCCGCTTCGAACAAGTTGATGGGCTCGTCCCCAGTAGGCGAGGCGGCTTGGGCGGGCTGGGCGGGTTGAGCAGGCTGAGCAGGCTGGGGTGCAGGGGGTGATGCCGGATTCGATGCGGTAGCTCCCGCGGCCGCTTGTCTTTGCTCCGACTGAATGTTATCGGGGATACCACTCAGCAGATACTCGATGGCTCGGTCCGGGTTGAAAAAAGCCGCCCGTAGTGCACGGTCTATTTCTGGCCTGGGAAATCCCATAGCCTCCATCTCACGAATGGTCGCTTCATTGCGATTCCCGATCAGGAACGCCGATGGATCGTTGAAGCCAGATCCAGCGGCGGCCGACGTGGTTGTGCTTTGGGCAGGCGTGGGCGTTGAGGGTAGATTTGAAACTGTAGACGGGTTGGGTTGAGGAGCAACTGGTGCGGCGGGTGTGGAGGTCGAGGTCGAGGTTGACGGAGCTGGCGTGGAAGGACTGCCAGACTTGGCCGCAGGAGCAGCTTTTGGCTAAAGTGAACACGCCATCAGTGCACTATAGCTTTAAACATAGCATGAAGACCAACCTTTGATATCATACAAACAATGAAACCCTTTTCTTCAATTTTGTATGATTCGACAGTGTTGGCGTCGGCGAGGACCTTGCCTGTTTCGAGGTCAGATATCTCAAGGGGAATCGCATGGGGGAGGCCTAGGGATTCGCATACCAGCATAGATAAGTTTCTGCTGCGAGGAGTCCCATCCTTTCTCTGCGGCAATCTTCTCTTTCACCTGCGCGATCTGACCAGATGGGGTAAGCCTGTGTCTGCTTCAGGTAGTTGGGGAAGGGTAAAATGCGTACTGTGTCCGATGGCTCGGCATCGATCGTGAACTTTTGTTGCTTGAGATCCTGTCACAGGCATTAAGGACTGTCGAACCAGCGATGGACTAGGTATACGGACTCTGAAGGAGAGCTTCATCTTGCCCCGCCACACACAGTAAAGTGTTTGGACTCGGTCAGCGGAATGTCACAGGGTCGAGGACTCTAGGGTTCAGTTGATAAGAAAGAAGTCAAGATAACGAAGATGGCACTCAAAGAAAATGAGTGGCCTGATTCCTCTTTTTTTTGGGAGGGATGTTCAAGTTGAGGTAAAAGACAAGATGAACAAATGCGGCGAAGGGGACAAGCGTCAAGGGTCGCAAATCGCAGGTCGCAGGTCGCAGGCTGGTGACGCTTGCCTCGCGCTGCCTGCCACATGAGGGAGCCTTGTAAAACTGGAGTCCACGTGACCGCAAATCCCCCTGGTCCTGTCAGGTTTGCTATGACAGGTGTCTGCTACTGTTGATGTATTCTGATCGACTGAATGGCTAGGCAGTCATCAAGCTTGTTTGATTTTGCAATCATCTCACTACCCAAAGAGATGCATCTGTGTAGTGGCGTGTATCACACCTCCTATCATCCGATTGAAGTGTACGCGCACGGCTACACCGCTGGAGCCTCATGGGCTGGGCTCCCCTGGTTTACTCTTTCTCCGTTTCACCTTTGCTACTCCCTCAGATAGCGTCACAATTCTTTCTGGCGCCCTAGTGCCCTTGGTACCCGCAGGCGGGTTGCTAGATGTCACAGGCATGGCCGAAGCTGCTCGGGATTGACTAGGGGTTCCGGTAGGAGTGGCTAGGCCTTGACCTTTGGTCTGGCCAGCTGTCATATTGGCATCTTTGCTCTTCGAGAATCGGAAGTTTCCTGGTTCGCCAACTAGTGGAAGCTCATCCACGTATTCCTTGCCGAACTGCAATGTCATTCGAAGCGCATCCCAAGCTGTTCGACTCCCGCCATTGGTTTCCTCCTGTGCTTCGGGAGGGGCTGCAGCTTTCTCGGTAGTAGCAGGCTGAGGCGCCGGTGCTGATCCTGGTGTTGGCGGTGGTTCATTACCCTGCTGTGAGGCACTCAGGATATTCTGTGGTGCCGACTGCTGGATAGGTTTATGGTAAGTATGGCCATGAGCGACTGAAAAGAAGGATAGGTCCGCTGGAGCTGTGAATACTTTGCTAAGCGCGGAAACCGTATTCAGCTACATGGGCTCAAGTCAATACAGCGTCAACTCGACATATAGGATTCGGACTTACCAGACGATAGTTCAGAACGCTGGCAACTGAAGGCGCTTGATAGATTACGTTGTTGACAATGTAGTAGTAGCCCAAGATCGTAATGCTGTCGTCTCGCTCATTTTCACGGTTCTGCTTGCGAATAACCCAGACATTGGACTTCTCGGGCCCCTTCGGTCCGTCCAGGACAACTTGCTCCTCCAGAGGATCATGTTCGACGACATACTGGATACCGCGCTGATGTCGCAGGTTGGCCTCAAATTTCGCCCTCGTGCCGAGGATGTCATTCTGGTTTGGCGTGCCCGCCCACTGGGTGAAGAGCGACTGGTTGCCCGAGACATGATCAAAGAATGGGGACGTCGCGAAATAGAAGAGTACTGGGAGAAAAGAGGTCAGTGGCCAGAACACCGTAAGTAGCTCGTCGCTCACCATTATTCGAGTGTAAGGTCCCTCCATTCCAGGCGATCCAATTAGGGTCGAAGTGGGCTTTCTCGGTCAGGTCGTCTTTGAGGTCGGCCATGATTGCTGATTCTCGAGAGCGGGTGTGGTCATCTTGAGCGGGTCTTGAAGAAGCCCACCGGCGCCAATATCGTGTCCTTTTCCACGCACACTTCACTGTTTTCTGATATGAGCCATCTGTTGGGTGTGAAGATGGCTGGGATATTAGTGCATGTGGTTGTGTCCAAAAAGGGCGTGGCGGTTAAAGTTTCGCTACGGCGGAGCAGATGATCATCTTGGCGCCTCCGGCAAAACATTTTGATTCGTTGTCAAAATTTCATCCTCGCAGCATCAAAACGGGTCGGAATGACTGTAAGATCGCCATCTTCTCCCGATGGTTGTTTTCGTAGACAGGGGGAGGTAGGTCTTCTTTTACTTGTCTATTTCTACTCTGTCCATGGTTTCTTTTGGTGTCTCTGGTTTGGGTCTACGACTGTGCCACTATTTGTCGTTCTCCAATAAGTGAAAGGAACAATTTCTCTACTTCTATCAAACTGGCTTAGACGGTATCCATGCCATCTCAAGGGTCGATCCTCTTTGTCGATGCCTACGACTCATTCGCAGAGAATATAGTTGCTCTTCTTCATGAGCACCTCCAAGTCGAAGTCACTGTGGTCAAGATCGATTGTGATATCCCGACCCAATTCAACCGCTCTCCGCAGGCATTCTTTGCCAGTTTCGATGCAATAGTCCTGGGTCCTGGCCCGGGAAATCCACATAATGAGTCAGATGTTGGTCTTTACAACAAGGTCTGGGCCTGTGCCGCCAAAGACAATATTCCAGTATTGGGCATATGTCTAGGTTTCCAGAGCCTATGTGTTCAGCATGGAATCCCCGTTGTGCGCCTGGATCTGCCATGCCACGGACACGCTAAGGTGATATACCACACCGATACGGATATCTTCTGTCGTTCAGGAAGCATTATTGCTACAAATTACAATAGCTTAGGGGCTCGCCTGAGATCATTCAAGCGAAATGGATCCCCGAGTCGTCCAAGTTCCTCTGCCTCGAGTGAGAGCATGTTGTCCCTGCGCAGTCTGCCATCTACTGTGTCAGGCCCTTTCGACACTTTGGCTGAACTATCGCCATACCAGACATGCAACAATCTGGAGGTCCTGGCCTGGGATAGCGATGGTTGGGTCATGGCAGTCAGACACAAGCACTTTGCGTTTCACGGTGTCCAGTTTCACCCTGAATCGTGCAAGTCCAGTTTGACTTGCCAAACGGTCGTCGAACAGTGGTGGGATGCTACAAGAAAACACAACGCTGTCCATCGAGATCTTGAGTCTGCCACAGAGGCGCCTTCTCGCAATTT